CTACCAGATGGCCATAGGAACTAATGCAATTTCGAGATTACCATTGGACCAAAGCAGTCATCTATCTTATCCTTCGCGACGTTAAATAAACCCTCATACGTAAAGCAACGACGAGATGCGAAGTGAATCGTCGATCAGAGGGGAAAATTTGTCCGCTGTCTGCCTTCTATATGACAGTGCAGCCACTCCGTCCAGAAGATGTCGAGCCAAAGTTCATGCAATGGAACTGGATGGTTCTTTCTTTGAACCGGTGTAGCCCAGACATTGCTCCTTTTAACAGCTGCTTGTCTTCCATACTTACCCGTTATACTTACTTTACTTTGATACTTTGAGGGTCTTCAAAACTGGGCCTTGCATCTCAGCGGGGACCACAGCTCTTCATTAACGCACCATTTCTTGGGCCGACTTGCCATCCCAATGTGGTTGGAACCGCGTTCTCTGAAATATTTCAAAAACGAGTCGGACCAACGCGTTGGTGGTCGTCCCAGAGGCCGTTTTGCGTTCCTTGGGAGCCATTCTGTGATGCGGAGACTCCATCTGTCATCATTGCGGCGGAGCAAGTGACCAGCCCAGCGGTGTTTGCACTGCGCCATATACTGCAGCGGATCTTTCAATCTCGACCGCTCCCTTAGGTCTGTACTTCGTAGACCTTGTTGCCATTGCTGGCGGCGGCCGACCTTCAAAAGACATCTCTCCAGTGCACGATGCGTAGTTTGCATTGCCTTGGTGATTGTCCTGTTTTCAGGCCAGGTTTCGGTCGCGTAACACATCGCTGGTAGCACCGTGGCGTCGAATATCGAGGCTCTTAGGTTAGGGTCCTTAATTTGCTCCGTTACTTCACGAATCGTTCCAAAAGCTGCCATGCTGCACGCCTCCTGCGGCTTATTTCAGAAGAGATGTTGTTCAGCCCTATGTTTAGCCTCTCTTCCCCAGGATAGCACGTTAGGAATCCACTCTTTCAGAGCCAGACTCCTGCCAATTTCACGGTTCCCGCATCACACAGTGGTTCACCATCATTTTCGTTTTGGACATATTCATTTCCAAGCCAATCTTCTGACCAATCATGTCGAGCTCGTTTACCATCTCTTCCATTTCGACTGTGTTATCGGATATCAGAACGATATCATCTGCAAAACGGAGGTTGCTTATCCTTTTCCCGTCAATCAAGTATCCTTTGTCATCCCAGTTGAGGTTTGACATCGCATACTGTAGTGCTGCCGTGAATAACTTCGGGGATATCGTGTCCCCCTGCCGTACCCCTTTCTCTGCTTCGTTTTTTTTTCCCCAAAAAACTGGGGGGCTAAAACTTTTTACCTTTGGCCGTACAGCAAAACAGTTGCAGGGTTGTTGATGTGTTCGATAAACTCTGTTCGAGCAGGCGAATGTAGGCAGAGGGTACTCCGGCTCGCACAAGGGCGTTGAGAACAGCATTAACCTCCACTGAGTCGAAGGCCTTTTTGTAGTCCACAAAGACGAGGACAAGTGGAAGATGGTACTCGCGGCTCCTCTCTATGAGCTGTGTTACTGCCTGTATGTTGTCCATACAGGAGAAATTCTTGCGGAAGCCGGCCTGCTCTGGTGGTTGATAGTCGTCTAAGATGCGTTCCATACGCGGTTGAGCCTAGTCATTTTCGTGAACGACTCTATAATCGTGGTGAGAGCAGACTGATTTCTTAGGTTCGCGTAGTTGGCAATCTCCTCTCTCTGACCTTTTTTGAACAGAAGAACTGTTCTCGATTCTCTCCACTGTTCTGGAATCATTCCTAATTGCAGGTAATGACTGAAGTGCTCTGCGAGGAGTGTGTGAAGGGACTTTCCTCCTGCACGAAGAGTTCCTTTCTTCATCTTTTTGATCGCATTTGCAACTTCCGCTTCCAGAATAGGAGGGGGATCTTCAGCAGGCGGTGCAGAGCATCTAGGGACGTTTGTGGAAGAGCGGAAGAGATTCGTGTAGAAACCACTAACGATTTCCTTTCTCGATAGATCTCCTAGATGTTTGTATTCTTCCATCCTTGTCCATAAGAGCTGAAATGACATTTCTTTGATCGTTCAGATCTCGTTTGCAGCGTTTGATGCTCGATCTTGTTTCTGCCGCCTTCAGCAGTCTAGTTCTTCTGTAAGCTCGGAGTGATTCTCTGACGGCAAACCGGCATGCCTTGTTGATGGTGACTTTTTCCAAGTGCGTGGCATTAGGGTCCATTTTCATTGCCCTCCTTTTTCCAACAAAGTGGTTGCGACATCATTGAGCCTTGGGCTGGAATCTGATTGCGCAAGTCGCGAAAGCTCTGCGCACTTGGACAGACCTTCGACCAAATGTTTGTAATCTTCTGATGGGTCGTCCAGCAAATGCCAGCTATGAGCCTCAATGCAAGCTCCCAATTGCTCACAAGGGAACCCCAACAGGTCGATCCGGCCATTTACAATGAGATGTAACGTATGGACGTGTCTTGAGCCGCTGAATCCGAATCTGCCCTCCGATTTTGCGGAACGATTCTCTGAAGGGAGTTACGGACCATTTAATCTTTGCTGTGTTTGCACAAGCTGACCAGGAAAGGCCAACACGTCAGCCCGGCCATTTGCAACGAAATGTACATCATTGTACTCACCTTGCCACGATGAACACAAGACTATCTTTAAAATTTGCGGATAAACGTGGAACGTGGATAAATTTGCGGAACGATTCTCTGAGCGGAGTTGTGAGGTTTTTCTTTATTGCTTTTCTTCTTCCGGGCGCGCCAGCGCCAAAGCGTTAGCACCTGTAGCGCAACTCACAGCGCTCTTCGCGCAAAACAGGTATCATATTCGTGTTCAGGGGTCAAATAACCCCTAGAGACGTCACCCCAGCGGAATCCGAGGTTCTAACTCATTTTCGAGAAAATGGGTTATGAATAGCTGTGGCTGACTGATAGCCAGCATATACGGGACTACCATACTGATGATGACTGGTTTTCCAACTGAAATACCTCTTCATGTGCCTTTTCGCAAAGACATTACCCGGCTTACTTATTCTTGCCGTTTGCATCATCGTCCTCTTTACCACGAGGTAGTTCCATCTCGAGACCATTCACCAACGGTAGGTGAGCTCCCCTATGCTTTCGATTACCCATGAAACAGCACACATTTTCCAAGTTAGGTGGAAATATCAGATTCGGCTAGAAATTTGTCCCCAGGGGTAGTTTGACCCGCTGAACATGAATATGATGGTATTTCATTGCAAAAACCCTTGTGACATGTGGTTATCCTCATAATAAAAAAGTTTTCAAGAGGAACCCTACATGGGGAATCGCCCGCCTTTCGTTGGCAACTAATCAAGAAATTAGGCGAAATGGCCAAATAGAAATTTCGAGGGCTCATACCAAGTGTTTTAAATGAAAAGCAAAAGATTTCGATAGCCAAGGATTCCAACATTCGACCTCGTGTCTCTGAAGCAATGCACTTATCCACTAGGCCATCGGCGGCTTGCCGCATGCAGTTATCCTTCTCAACTTGAGCAAACGGAGCTAAGATTAAATGGTCCGTAACTCCCTTTGGAGAATCGTTCCGCAAAATTGGAGGGCAGATTTGGATTCGGCGGCTCAAGACACGTCCATATTTATACATCTCACTGCAAATGGCCGGATCGACCTGTTGGAGTTCCCTTGTCAGTGTTGTAGGAGGGATTCCTCGAAGGTAAGGGCCTATGCCTGTCGCGCTTGAATAATTTCTTCTTGAGACATACTTTGGCACGTATCAAACGGTGGTCTGAGCCAGTATCGAATGACGGCAGCACTGATACGTCGAATAGGCTCCAGCGTCGATTGGTTAGGATGTGATCGATTTCCTTGCGCGTTTCTCCATTTGGACTTTCCCAGGTCCATCGCCGTCCAGTCGGCCTTCTTCGAACACTAGAGTTTCCGTTGCGTAAAGGCGACATGCATGACAGCAGTTAAGCAGCCTTTCCTCCGTTCTCGTCTCGACTGCTTCTGTTCCACGGGGCCGAGACCCAAAACACAAAACCCAGCCCCAGAATCCAATAACAGTCGCAAATCGCCGTTGTGGTTCGTGCCTATAAGGGCATTGAAGTCACCAACCACATACTTGTAGTAAGTTCTCTCATTCTGAATCGTATCTTCCAGAAGCTGGTAAAATTCTTCGCGTTCTTCGTCAGTGGCGGTGGAGGTGGGTGCATATCCATTGATAATGGATATGGCTACCTTGATCTTTGATCTTTTGTTTGGTTGGTTTGATATCCATAGTCCGACAATTATACGAGCAGACGAAGAGGCAGTCCTTGTGTCGTTGGGTGGGGGAGTTTCCGGGTTTCCGATTAATCTGATGACGTCCTGATTCCCTGACGAGATTAGATGGCCCCTCATCGGTAGAGGCAACTCCTGACGTCGTAGAAGAGCATATCCGATGTACGCAGGACTGGGGCGCTATTGAAGCTGTTTGAGCAGAAGAAGTGGCTTAGGTTACTCCCTTGTTCCTTGCTAGGGATACAAGAAAGCCGCCCATACACACATTACAAAATCCCATGCCCGTTATAAGGACGAAAAAACCTCCACGACCTGAGGCAAAGCTAAAATCGAGATCATGTCCAACTTTGCGCCGTGTCGCCCTGCATTGTGAAGCGATGGCATCCATGAGGTGCTTGAAGACTGGCGAAAACCCCGAAATAACAATGCCGTATGAATTTAGTTTTGTACGCATTTCAAAAAAAGAAAACCTATTTTGAAGAAAACATATGACAGAACTTTCCCGCCAACGTAATACTGACGTCTGCTGGGAGAGCTCAGTGAATCGCGGGAGCACAGGTGATACATATGCGTGAGCCCCGTTATACGCTTGTTCTGAACATATTGTGTCTCTTCAGAACAAATACGAAACTAATTTACCAGTTTTCTGCTCAACACTGCCGTCTGTTTTTTTCAGATAGAAATAAAGCACTCCAAAAGTTGTGCGAATGCGATTGGCACAGACGATATGTTCATCGATTCGATAGGGCTTTTCCAAACTATACGAAACTATCAGAATAACTACATTATCGGAGCCGCAATGTAATTTTTACTTCCCCAAGTTTAAATTTCTATGCGTAGACCGGCGGAGTACACGCAATGAGTCTGTATATTGTATAAATGCTTGCTTGAGGGTGGAAACGATTCCTCGAAATCACGTAACGCGATTTCCGGGTAGTCAGAATCCTTCTACAACGTGAAACGTCTGTCTGCAATCACAGAAGTTGTACTACTGGCAGAGGCGCTGAGGCCGTTATTTGCCATAGCACCTATGTGTACCATTATGCGTTTCCACCCAGGGATATTGCCATATCTGGGTGAAGCCGTCTTCGCTGACGGCTTCACCCAGATATGGCAATATCCCTGCTGTATCGCGTCAATGTTGTATCGCTTGCGTTTCTGTACTTGCAACCTTTACATCGATCGCTCGCCCACGCCCGCTCCTCTGCCTTTTCCTCTTCTATCCCCTACAAGTAAGCCTGGCGCTGAAAAGCCAGTGGAATAGAACGACCTTATTTGAGCCGATTCCCAGGGGCTGACCTGCTTTTTCCATCAGATTCACCAGCACCTACAAAATCACACTGGTCAGACCACACAACCCACAATCGTGGAATGTGCTTTGGAATGAAAGCATGCGTTTCAAAAGCCGCTCAGAATAGAACACGTTTAAAATAGTTATCAAGTGTCTACATAGGAAAAACCCTCAACCTAGGAGCTCTGAATTGGGCGTGTACTTCCGGGTCACGAGAGATTTAAAGAAACCCAAAAATCGCAGCAATTCGTTGGTAAACTTCTAAGCGCTGTTATGAACCAAACGGTCATCTAGTAAGTCTTGCCACAGTGGCAAATGTTCTTCACGTTCATGTTTGTTTCTTGTCAGCTTGTACGACGTTTGTCAGCTGTTATCAACACGCACGGGGAGTGTGGGTGAGCGCTCAATGGAGGCAGGATTATCCTATGGAAGCACCCCAAAAAAGTTCTCAGAGGTATCCCAATGGAGCTGGTATTCTTCCGTGACTAATACCCATCCAAAAAGAAAGGATTATCACATGGAAGCACCCCAAAGAATCCAAAAAGAAATTCGTGCTCTCACCTTACTTCTGTTTGGCCTTAGCCGTCAACAGTTCTTGTCCCGTGTGCTAAAGTCTGGCGGTGGTGAGGATTAATGCCGTTGGTCAAAGTACGATTCTATATCGAGTTTGCAAA